GATGGACAACAGAAAAGTGGGTGAAGGAAGATGTCGGACAGTGTAAGATATGACAAATAATAATTTACAAATTATCAAGGGTTCATGAGGCGGGGGGGATGGGGAGGGAATGGGGAAAATGAGGAGGTGATACCGAGGGCTCAAGTAGAAAGCAGATGTTTTGAGAATGATGAGGGCAATAAATATACAAATGTGCTTGACACAATGGATGTATGTGTGGATTGTGTTAAGAGTTGTACGAGCCCCCAGTAAAATGATTTAAAGAAAAAAACCCTCAGTTTATACACGAGTACATACGGTAAGTCTGAAAATTCTGTTTTCTATTGATGGAGTATTTTTCTTCCCTTATCTCCAATGCATGGACACTAGAACACAGAGACTTTCAAAAAAAAAGAGCCCCAGATCAAAGCAAGCTCACTGCATTGAGTTGATTCTAACTCATAGCAACTCTATAGAACAGGGTAGAAGTGCCCTGTACCCACTTTCCAATACTGCAGAGGAACCGTGAAATGGTGCGACCATATTGACAACTGCTTGTTGGGTAAAGCACTTTATCTGCCCTACAAACACTTCCACTTCAATTTGTCCACAGAGGACAATCCTACAAATCCTTCCACTTCAATCTGTCCACAGAGGAGAATAAAAACATATGGGCACATAACGAGAGTGTTCAGAACAAGTTTCGTAATGATAGCTCCACAATGAAGCAACCCAAATATCCAATCAACAGGCGGGTAAATAAATGGGCACACTCACAGTTCTCTTCTGCAATGATGAGGAATGACACAACAGGAGGCACGCAAATATGCCATGGAGGAAAGAAGTCAGGCGGGGAAGAGTCTATCTGCATGTGTCCACTCATTTTTAGTCCAAGATTAGGCAACTAAGCTATGGTGACAGGAAATCAGAACATGGTTGCTTCTTGAGAGATAAGAGTTGAGACGCAAAAGAGTACAAGAAAGCCCTCTAAGATGATCACACTATGCGATACCTTGTTTCCAACACATGAAGTTATAACATAGTAAGCATGATGTATGCAAAGTATTCTTACATTGAAAATATATCTATATCTTTCTTGAATACTTTTGTTTGGTAAGAAAAAATTATTAGATAAAGCTTAAGATTTTTTAAATGTCTGATTTCATGATTCTTACCTGTCTAAAAGCTGATCGTGTTTTTCTAAAGCATCCTTTTCGCCCATCACTGCTCGGTCCTTTTCAGCCACGGCATTATCTCTGGCTTCTCGGAGATTTCTAATATTAAAATGAACATTGCAGTTATTTCCAGCACACACATTTGCAGCTTTTCAAGATTTCTAAATGCCCTTACTAAAAGGTGGATCATATTGCTCTTACTTAAGAACTCACAAGAACTTGATACATCACAATGTATACTTTATTAGTGTGCCTGGCCTGACGAGTTAGCATTTAACAGTGTAGGTGTAAACATGTTGATCTCTACATATCATGTAATTTTTCTTGGCATGGGTGTTAAAGGATAGGCTAAGCAGTTGTTTATAAAACCAAACCAAACTCACGGCTGTGGAGTTGATTCTGACTCACAGAGACCCTATAGGACAGGGTAGAACTGCCCTTGAGAGTGTTCTATTCCGTTTACTGGAATAGAAAGACTCTCATCTTTCTCCCAAGAAGTGGCTGGCAGTTTTTAACCGCAGACCTATTGGTTAGCAGCCCAACATATAACCACTATGTCACCACGGCTCCAGCAGTTGCCTATGATTGATTTATTCCTTACTATCATTCTATAGAGCAGGTATAATTACATATTAGTCACAAGAAAACTGAGGTTTAGTTTTTAATATTCTATAAAGTATTTTAAGTTAAAATAAAATAGAGGTGAATCAAAACGGGGGAAATTTTGAAATACAGGAAGAGAACAGTTGAGACGATGGGCCTGGAAACACTAGGGATTTGCTGTTGGAAAATGGTGAGTGAGAGGTAGAAATGCGGCTGATGAGCTTCTGCGTAGGACCACTTGAGTGGCTACATGAAGTGCAGCCGAGATGAGGATCCACAAACAGTAGAGATCTAGGAAGGATGGGACGAGGGAGCTAACATACTGTGTCCTAGGCCAGGGGTAGGCAAACTTTTGAGACGGAAGAGCCAAACCCTCACAACAATTTAAAATGTCAACTTTATTTCAGAGACACATGTACGATACGTATCGAAAGAGCCACATATGAGTCATAGATTCATAACCTCCATTTGCCAACAAAAAGCAACAGTTCATCAACTGACTTTTAAGGTTTTAAGTTCATTGCTGAGACACACAAGCCAAATTTCTCTACAGACCATAGCAGTGAGAGCAAGCATATGCAAAGTGCTTACCATGTATTGGGAACTAGTCTACCACTTTACATATAATAACTCACTTGATGCTTACAACAATTCCAGAAGGAGTAGGCTGTATTATCACCTCCATTTTACAAATGAGAAGACTGAAACAGAGGTTAAGTATTAGGCTAAGATTACCATCTGGCCCCAGAGTTCATGCACATAATCATACTAGACCACTTCTCTTAAGATTTCCCTGGTTTCACAGACACGATCGCCTAGGTTAAGTCCAGATACTACAAGAATTTTATTAAGTGATCATCTTTCAGCACAAATACAAGATGATTTTTTTTAAGAATTGGGGGAAAATGAATGGAAAGGCCATACATTTTTTTATGAACTTTTTGATGCCCCTTCATAGATATTAAATCAAAATAAATCTTGAAACAATTTTGTAATTATGTTATATATGCGTTTTTAATGTTAACACTCATTGTGCGTAACGTGCTCTTTCAAAATTAGACTGATTGGATAAAACACCAGCTGGATTGTAGTCCTACCACAGATAAAACAATAGCTGCCCTAACACGAATAAAGTATCCATTTCAAAATGTTAACTGCATTAGAAAATGTAAGACAAATACCATTAGAGAACAGGGAGCAAAAAGTCAATGTTTTCCAAAAGAGAAGCTTCAAAAGCTGTTAGAAGCTTTCTGTAGCATGTACAAGCTAATGAGGCTCCGTGGTCAGGTCTAAACTGAGTGCATAATCCAGTGTAACTGTAATAACAGAGAAGGGTGCCAGGAGCTGGCCAACTGACCAATATGATAACACGTTTTAAAACAGCAGAACTTGAACATTTCATCCCAAGAACCACTTTCATAAAACTAATATTTGATCAAAAAACTGTGTTTCTCATGATTCTTTCACTGTCTCCCGCTCCTTACACACACACACACACACACACACACACACGCATGCATGCACACGCACACACGCGCATGCACGCACACGCACACGCACACACACACACACACACACACATACACACACTCTTCTTCTATCCCCTTATGTTTGCCTGTGGGTGGGGTGAGAGGAGAAATGGAAGAAACGGGGAAAGACAGCTAAAAGCAACTTACTTGTCAAGCAGTTGACAAATACCGAGTAGTATCCTAGTATGACACACAGGATGTCCACCTGGGGCACTTTTTTACAACGCAGGGGGTGCTATCAATAATTAGGAGGGGCCTTGGTGGCATAATGGGTTACAAGTTTCTCTGCTAACCTCAAGGTCAGATGTTTGAAACCACCAAGCCACTCCACGGGCCAAGGATGAGGCTTTCTACTCCCATAGAGAGTCCACAAGGCCAGTTTTACTCTGTTTTCTTGGGTTACCATGAGTGGAAATGACTGGGCAAGGAGTGAAGGGAATCAATCATTGTAACAGAGAGATGGGCCTCAAACAAAGCTTTCTTGTACAAACTGAGAGATGGAGTCACATAAATACTAACATTTAAACAAGAGATAGAAAGAGTTAAAACCTGGATTCTGTAAATAAAAAAGTTCACGATGAGAAGAGATGGATTTCATAAGCAGAGAGGTGCCATTTGTGTAGCATATGAGATTATCCAGTTAAATCTTTACAAAAGCAGCTCCTAAACTGAAACCCGAAAACCTCACAAGGAAACACATATCACCACAGACTTCTGCAAAAAGGACTGTATTCCTTTTTACTACTAGAATCTACATTTCATGGAACCGATGACAAATCCAGATTTGCATCTGCAAAGTGGATAAGAATGGGAACGATCTTGGGAAACTGCTGAAATTCGAGTAGGAACAAATCCGTTTAGTAATGCCAATATCATAGCATGTCTAAACCTGAATAAACATCGCCCAGCTTTAGAACATGACAAAGACCAAGAATAAATAAAAAGCATGGCCGTCAGTGCAACTAAGGACCTCATTTGTCTCCTCCTTCTGTCACCATGTGAAAACTACTTTCGGTAAATAAAACAAAACCGTATTTTCAGTTGGAACAGAGAGAAACTGAAAAAGGTTGCATGTACTATAAACTTACTTACAGGGTAAGTATTTGAATTTGTCAACTCCACCTCCAAATTTGAAGTCCCCGGGTGCTGCAATGAATTAAACTACTCAATGGCTAGTCAGGAGACTGGGACTCGAGCCCACGCGGAGGGCCCCTGGCAGGCAGCTATGGCGCTTGGTGCTCTGCTTCTGCAGTCCCAGCATGCACCAGGCTGGGTGTCAGTCATTAGCAGTCGGAATGAATTTGAGGGCAACTAACAGCAGCGGGAATCACAAAATTTTCTTTCCTGAACAAACTGTAAAACTGCTGATATCCTTTGTTTTTAACACAGCTTACTGTACTGTACGAGTAGTATATTCTAGTATACTCTGATAATAGACTCTACCATACGAGGACTGAAATAGATTATCTGCTATTTACAATAAATTACTGATAACTTTACTTTTAATAAATATAGATAGTTGAAAATTCAATGAATGGGACATAAAGAGTAAAGTGTACAAAGATAACAATAATAATATATAATTGAACAACAAAGATAACAATAATAATATATAATTGAACAACGATTTGGGAGGGTAGGGGAAGGAGAGGAAAAAAGATGAGATGACACCAAGGGATCAAGTAAAAGAAAATGTTTTGAAAATGATGATGATAATATATGTACAAGCATGTGTGATACAATTGATTTATGGATTTTTATAAGATCTGCAAGAGTCCCCCAGTAAAATCATCAATAATTTTTTAAAATGTAAAGTAGAAATTTTATTTGCCATATTTTTGGTATATAATGTGTCCAAGTAGACAATGCACATATGCTAATGTACAGGAGTTTCACAGTCTACAAAAAACTGCATAACATACAAGTAAAAAAATGCAGCAATATTTCACAGGGAAAATTGTTTCATGACATAAACTTTTAAGAACACTGTTGGTTGAGCATGCTAGAGTTTTCAAAGCTTCTACTTTAGTTGGTGCTCAAAGAGATTTTTTTCATCTTCATTTAACAGATGTGAAAATGACTCATAAAGTAGCTAAGAATATAACTCAAATTATGGAAAGAGAAATATTTAAGCCACTGTGGTGAAGGAAAATTACCTGGTATAACTCTTCTACCCATGCCTTTGTAATGCCCACCAAAAGATTGGGTGGGACCATACAAATTGGGTGTATGAAACACTAATGGAGGGGATTGGTCCATTTTGCCTTTCCACGGGGCGTCTCTGTGAGCCATCACAGGGCCAGGAAGACAGAGGAGGCTCTCGTGACCATCGAGAAAGAAGAGTCACCAGAACAGTGCCAGTGAGCTCTCTGTCAGAAATGGCAGATGCGGCAGAGACTGTACGAGGGAAACCATGTGGCAAACACGTGAGCTTGCTGGTCCAGAGAACAAGGCATGGCGGAGAAGGGGTCAAATGAACTACTTAATGTTTTGTAGCCAGTTAGCTTCCCATCCTTGTGAGTACTGCCTGTGGGTTCCATGTAGCCACCGCAATGAATTTTCAAGTCATCTAACCTAGCAAAGAAAGGGAGCCCAGGAGAGGGGAAGTTGGTGTTAAATTAGGGTAAAGAAGGATGGAGGGTCGAGGCATGTCTGACCTCTGCCTTTTGGGTACTCAGCCTTGGGCAAGTGTGGAATTAAGATTCTCTTTCTCCTTTGTGTGGCCAGAGAAGGGCAGATGTGGCTCTCACACCATTTCTTCAGCTGCCAAATGCATAATACTGACTCAAATGAACAACAACCCATCACTGCAGATCAGATACTCTGGCATGAGCCAGGCCAGACCAAACCATATGATGTATACGTCATCAACAAAAAAGATGCAGATAGCTCCTGTGCTGAAAGACATCTTCCCACCCCAGACCCCCTGTCCTATGCCTTTAAGGCCTACAGATGGGATGGTGGGAG